CGACCTCCCTGTCCCTCGGGTGGTCGCGGGGGGGTCCCGGGCCATGTGGTACGTCATGCAGAGCGTGCAGAGCAAGTACTCGCTGTCCGAGCGGCTGATCCGAACCATCGCCGCCATCCGCTCCTTCCCCCGCGACAGCGTCGAGGACCTCATCGGCAGGGTGGGTGAGACCCCCGGGGATGGGAGAGACCCCCAGGGGCCTGGGGGGACCCCCGGGATGGGAGAGACCCCCACGGGGCTGGGGGAGACCCCCATCAGCAGGGTGAGACCCCCGGGATGGGAGGGACCCTCATCAGCAGGGTTTTCTGACCCCAGGGAGGGTTCCTGACCCCGAGGTGCTCCCTGTGCCCCCAGGGTGGGTTTGGTGATCCCAGGGAGGGTTTCCTGCCCGCCAGGGTGTGTTCCTGACCCCGGGGTGGTCCCTGTGCCCCCAGGGTGGGTTTCCTGCCCCCCAGGGTGGGTTTGCTGATCCCAGGGAGTGTTCCTGACCCCGGGGTGGTCCGTGCCCCCAGGGTGAGTTTCCTGCCCCCCAGGGTGGGTCTGGTGATGCCAAGGTGTGTTCCTGACCCCGGGGTGGTCCCTGTGCCCCCCAGGGAGCAGACGTGAACTGCCTGCACGGGACGCTGAAGCCGCTGCACTGCGCCTGCATGGTGGCTGATGCCGACTGCGTGGAGCTGCTGCTGCAGAAGGGAGCTGAGGTGGGGCTGGGGGGCTCAAAACCATCACCAAACCCACAAAAACGAGGAGTTCTCCTGGGAAAAGGGGATTTGGGCACTGGAAGGGCCTTCCCCGGGGTTGGGGGGCACCCAAAAGGTGTCAGAGCTTGGGGAGAAGGGTTGGGGTTTCGAGGGATTAGAGGGGTTTTGGGGAAGGGTCTTGTGCAAGGGCAGGGGTTAGAGGGGATGATCCTTGTGGGATTTTTGGGGGGGATTCAACTTAATTTAGGATTAGGTTTAACTTAATTTAAGCCTAAGCTGAACTGGATGCAAGGTTAGGGTTCACCTAAAGGTTTAGATTAGGTTTAAGTTGAGGTCAGGTTTGAGTTATGTTTAGGTCAGATTTCAGTCAGGTTTAGGTCAGGTTTCAGTTAAGGTTAGGTAGTTTAGGTCAGGTTTAAGTTAGGTTTAGATCAGGCATAAGTTAAGGTCAGGTTTAGGTTGGGTTTATGTCAGGTTCCACCCAGGTTCCAGCCAGGTGTAAGTTAAGGCCAGGTTTATGCCAGGTTCCAGCCAGGTTTCAATTAAGATTAGGTTGTTTAGATCAGGTTGTTAAGTTGGGTTTAGGTCAGGTATAAGTTAAGGTCAGGTTTAGGCCAGGTTTCCAGCCAGGTTTCAGTTAAGGTTCGGTTGTTTAAGTTAGGTTTAGGTCAGGCGTAAGTTAAGGTCAGGTTTAGGTTGGGTTTATGTCAGGTGGAAGTTAAGGCCAGGTTCCAGCCAGGTTTATGCCAGCTTCCAGTGAGTTTTATGCCAGGTTTCATGTAAGGCCAGGTCGAATTAGCTTTATGCCAGCTTCCAGTGAGGTTTAGCTCAGCTTTTAGTTAAAGCCAGGCCCAGCCCGTGTTTCCAATCCACTCCCTGCATTATCCCCCCTCCTCCCCGTGCCCAGGTGAACGCCCTGGACGGCTACAGCCGCACGGCCCTGCACTACGCGGCCGAGAAGGACGAGGCGTGCGTGGAGCTGCTGCTGGAGTTCGGCGCCGACCCCGACGCGGCCGACGGCAACCGCGACACCCCCCTGCACTGGGCGTCCTTCCGCAACCAGGCGGGCTGCGCGCGGGC